CGCCGGGAGTCCCGCGGGGGCCCTGGGAGGGCTTCGGCCTTCTCGGGGCGGGGGCTGTGGTACCCCCCGCGCCTCCCTTCCTTCTCCCTCTCCCTGGGATCGGGCTGGCTTCCTCCAGGAGACGGAACCACCCCTTGGGTTATGCCCCCGCCCGCCTGCGGTGCCATCGTGCAGGGCCGCCCGCCCCTCGTAGCCCATCCCGAGCTTGTCCCAGCTTCCCCATCCCGCCCCCGTTGGTGTTGCTGAGGCTGCCGCTTGTCTCCCCAGCAAATTTTTGTGACAGAGGCATTCCCGGGCCCGTTCCCTTTGCTAGCGAGCATGGAGTTTGCGGAGCTGATCAAGACGCCTCGAGCGGACAACGTCGTCCTGCACCGCCCTTTCTACCTGGCTGTGGAGGGGACTCTGTGTTTGACTGGCCACCATCTCATTTTTTCTTCACGGCGTCAAGATAACGCTGAGGAGCTGTGGCTACTGCACTCCAACATCGATTCTATTGAAAAAAGGTATGCCTCCTGATGTCCCTGCCTACCCATACCTAATTGTTTGTGTCTCATTTTGGGTTGAAAAGTGGTTGTCGAGACTGGCTCGCACCTGAGCTGTCTCAAATCCAGGTCTGGAGAGGAGAAGGGACAGTCAGTGAGAGCACAGGGCAGAATATGGGCATGGGCAGGTTGATTCTCATTCTGTTTGGATATTGATATTTGACTGTTGCATCTTAAGATTAATTTTTTGTCATATGTAGAGTTGGAATTTTTACATTTAAACACCTTTGTCAGCAGTACTCTGTGTTGATTGTTCAGTGGATTTCATCAGTAGCTCTTGAAACACTTTATGAAGGATGCTTCTCTACCACTGTTCAACGGAGGTGGAAGCTGAGGCACTGATGATGCAATTTGCCTTGGGTCACCCAGCAAAACTGATGGCAGAAGCAGACTCCAGACTTGCTCAGCCTCGGATCAGTCTCCTGGTGCTCGACGCTGTCATCCCCGTACTCCTTCAACTACTTATGGAATTCAGTAACGATTTAAGAGCGTACTCCTTGTGGGAACAATGTGGTAAAGCTGAGTTGTAGCTGCAGCACTTCATTTTATTCTTGTGCATCCCCTTTTGTTGCAAGGACTTCAGGGATTCATCTTCTTACCACCAGGCCTGTCTGCCCCATCACGCTTCCCTCGCTGAGCGGCAGTCCCATCTCACCTGGTCATTGTCTTCTGCTTCCTCACCTTTGTCCTTTTTTTAGTTTGCTCATCATATTTTTTTTTTTTTGTTAATTACAAAGTCAATCCCCTGTTTCCCTAACCTTTTAAGGTAATCTGGAAGAACAGATTTCCTTCCTGCCAGCAAGACTGGAAAAAATCAAGCAGCAGCAATTAAAAATACCAGGTTGCCCCAAAATCTGAGAATGGGTGAAGTACTGGATGCTGATTAAGTTTGTTCCTGTGTTCCTGATTTGTCTGAGCATTTCTGAGAAATGCTGCGTCTTGGCCTGAGGGTGGAGAGGAATGGAGTGGTGGAAACCTCAGGAAATCTGTTCCTATCTAGTACTGCTCAGTCATCAGGGTGGTTTGGCCTCATCCTCCTTACTGCTTGTACTAAACCAACCATAGCTCTGTTTTGAACATTACTGTGGAGGAGCTTTTCTTCTTTTATTTTTTATGAGCTCAGTTGCAATTACATTGTAAGATAATACCAAGTGAGCAAGGAACGCTTTAAGTTTTGGCGAGGTAGTAGTGCATCGCTAGCTCTGTATATGATTTCTAACGGAGGTAGCTACATCTGCAGATACTTGCAGCCCTTAGTGCCAGCCCTAGTTTCTAGAAGGTCTCTGGAGTAGACATCTCCCTCCCTGAGAGTAGCTTTGTGTGAACGTAACTGCAATGAAACTTTGCCATATAAAAGGATAAGAGTATATTCTCAGTGCTGGAAAGAATGGAATAATAAAACTGTTTAATAGAGTTTGTAGGAAGGTCCAGTTTGGCAGTACTTCAGGTTATTAGTGCGCAACAGTTGTGATACTGTGCCAGGTTCATAAAATCTCTTCTCCCTCTTTCATGATACAAGTGTCTTTTGTACAAAACAGTGTTTTCCCCAATTATCAGGTGGTCGTCAAACTGCTGCTTAATTTTTTGTAGCTTTTTAAGCAACTTAAATATGACCTGTAGGGTTTGTTTGGAAGTGGAACACTCTCTAGTCATCTCCTGTGGTCTTTTTGTTTGAAGAAACGTGGAGAGGAGACACAGCCCTGGTGATGCGTTGCTGCTGCACTGTGTTACTACGTTGGGGATCTGTGAAATAGCGCTGCAGCGAGGGCAAACGAGGCACAGACTGGATCTGCTGGAGCTGCAGAACTTTTCTGTCAAAATACCTGTAGTTCCTCCTTCAGCACTACCCAAATTATAATTGGTTCTGCGTGTTAACCTTTGTCTGTACAGGCGAAATAGATAATGACCTTTCAGCTGTAATAATAATAAAAAAATAAATTACAGGCAGCTTTTGTACCACGGATGAAGCAACCCAAAGCTTAGCAATGGGTCTCCTCTTGGAGCGTGTGCAGCTCTGTCCTTGTGCGTGCGTGGTCTAACCGAGAGTCATGCCACGAGGGACTGGAACTTGGTCCTTCAGGTCTTGCCTCCTGCTTCTTGCATCGCCCTTGGCTGCTGCAAGCGCTCCTGTGGTGTTTGAGGCAGCTCCATTGCTTTCCCTTAGTTCGCTGCTTTGTGAACTAAAATCTACATCGTTCCTGTGAACACGAGTGGCTAGTTAACATAAGGAAAACACTCGGTTTCTGTTCAGGCCTCATCCTTCTTTCAGGTACGTAAGGAAGGCTGGAGAGGGCGTCTGTGAGCTCTGCTTGTTTTGTAACGTAGAGCTTTTTCTGGGTTGCCTTGCATTGTAACGAGCGGTGATAAGACCTTAACTTCTCCAAGGTCTGCAGAGCGAATAGCTCGGTGGCACTGCAGGTATCAGAAACCAAACTTTCTTGTTAAAGACAAGGGAGTGTAATGTTGTGAATGTGAAATGTTGTTTGAAAAATTAAATTTAACTCAAATGTTTTTAGCGATCCTCAAAGTTTCAATGAAACTTGAAGCTTCCAGCTGAAGCTTCCAGTACTATCAGAAAATACCTGAACACACCTTTTCTTTCATCTTTTAAAGGAAGGCTGGGGGGAAAACCTCTTTATCTCGCAATACTTATACTTCCACTCACTGCCATGTCACAAGGATGGAATTACAAAAAAAAAAAAAAAGCGGACCACAACTTGAAAGTACCAAATAAAGAGGTGGTTTTGTTTATTTTTTTTTTGAAAGATGATATTGCAGACAAATTACTACTAATGGAATTTTGTCTTGTAGGCATATGTTGTGGGAAGAGATATAACACATCTTCATACCTTAGAGGATCCTGTTCTTAAGAGACTCTTTCTTCGTGTCTTGCTGTAGGTTTGTGGGCTCACTGGGTACCATCATTATAAAATGCAAAGATCTGCGAATTATTCAGCTGGACATACCTGGAATGGAGGAGTGTTTGAACATTGCTAGCTCTATTGAGGTGAGAATTCATAATGATAGGTATGATTCATAATGATAGAACACCGATGTTCTCAGATCTTGATCTGACCTCAACCTTAACAGCTTTTTTCCAGTTAGGAAAGTTGTCACTGATGTTCTGGAAGACAAATGAGAATTGTGGGATATTTCCTTTTAATTGTTAAAATATTGTTGGCTGCTTGTAGGTGTCTTTTTCAAAAATAAACGCAAACAAACCACAATCCTACTTTTTTTGATCAAATGTCTTGCCATAACATTTGGGAAAATAAAGCTCGGCTTCATTATGCTGGAGCATGAGGAGGCAAAACCAAATCAGCCTGGCTGAGTTGCACGTGTCTCAAATAACATTAAGTGACTTATTGAGTTTAAGCTCATTAAGCTCATTAATCAGGTAAATGCCACATAGGATGTGTTCTGTTAGTTATACCTGTTTGGTGTGCATTTTTCTCATCCTTTGGTGTGCTGTTACGTAGTGTAGCCTGCAGAAATGATACTCTGTGTACAATTCAAGTGCAACTGGGGAGTTGTCTGTTATCATCTGCTTTTGTTTGTGCTACTAGGTTTTTTTTATGTACCTTGAACTACCCTGTGGGTAACTTAGTATTTCAAGCTTAATGGCTGTATATTGTTGGGTGGCTTAAGTTTGCATCACCAATATTAAAGCAAAACACTATTTGCTGTATGTTTTTTGGAATAAAATAGTCGTTTGAATGAATTAAGTAGCTGTTTATTTTTCTCACGTGTACAGGCACTTTCCACATTGGATTCTGTCACTCTCATGTATCCCTTCTTCTACCGGCCCATGTTTGAAATCGTTGAAGATGGCTGGCGCTCTTTTCTGCCTGACCAAGAATTTGAGCTCCTCAGTTCAGTGGTAAGTTGGATCTTAAGGATTTGCACAGGTACTCGGATACACTTGTGCAAGTAGTTTGTGAAGTATTTCACCCAGTAGTGTATGGACTGGAAATCCTGGTTGGTTTAAAAAAAAAAAAATTTTCCATCCATGTCTGGGTGGGAAGTGAGTGTTATTCAAATATTCTCTCTGTAAACATCAGGCATTTCTGTTTCTGTGCTAAACGTTCCTAGTTAGCACTTGTGTTTTACCTTCTGCAAATGCAGTTTCGAGGCCTATTGAAAAGTTACCTGGGAGGATATGAAGGTAGGAAATGTTCTTGTCCTTTGGGGATGGCCCTCCATATTGTAAGAACAAATTTAAAATTGCTAAGGATTTCTTAGCTCTCTAGGATCTCTTAGCATCTAGGAAGATGACAGTAGATGAAGGTGCCCAATTTGAGACACTCTTCACTCTAGTCCGTGGTGGGGAAACATTGGGAGTGTTCAGACAGCAGGGAATTTCCAGTTGTATTCTTCCAGGTGCCGTGAGCACATGCTGATATTATTTTGGTACCTGTAGGGTAGGAATTGTTCTTGTGGCATTGCCTGTTGTATCTGTTATTCTAACTTCACTTTAGAATGCTGAATTTGATATACTGGGAAACTGGCTTGGTTGCAGGAGCCTACCTGTTTTAATAGTGCCTTGGGTTAGCATCTCTGTGTTCCAGGTCTTTGTTTCGCATTAAGTATGTGCACTTGCTGCATCATCTTAGGTCTCTGAGACCACATCCATTAGTACAGCATCAACAAACATTGATTTTTTTTCTTTTATCTGCAACCCAGCTTGTCTGCAGCATTTATCACTTCCTGTTTATGACTAATAACTGAGTAATACGATTAGCTTGACCAGATTCATATGATGTAATCACTTGAAAATTAAAGAAGTTTAGGGATCTTTCTATTTTTGTCTCATAATTGGAGTACTCTCGCATGTCCTGTCTTCATCTGCTGTCAAAAGACATAGAAACTGACCTGTAATAATAACTAGCACCACAGTTTTGGTTTTAATTTCAGCTGGGGAAGTCAGACATGTGATCAGAGTGCTCTCCTGTTTGGAGGCAAAGCAGCAGATGCTTTCCCAGCTCAGCAGAGGAAGCTTGCAGGCATTTCAATGAGAAGCAAAAAGTCAGAAGCTGAAGTGTTATCTGGCGAGATGGGAGGATGTGTGAGAGCAGGATTGAAGGCAGCAGAAGGAAATCCCTTGGAGCTCAATGAAAGATTGCAGGAGGTGGTGCTGCTTCTGTTCGCGTTTTGCTTTCTATGTGTAGCTGAAATCATTTTTAGATTTCAGGAATCAAATCACTTCTGTTGGTTGTATTTACCAGCACACAGGTGCTACCATGAATCCATTGATACGCTGCTTTTTTTTTTTTTTTTTTACTTTCAGAGGTTTAACAGTGCACTGACAGCTTATTTGTGGGTCTCTTGGCTTTCTGAACATATGCTCCTTGGAAGGCTTACATTTAAAAACCTAATTACTTTATAATGCTATGTTTCAAGGGCAATAATTTGTTTCTTTAAAACATACATGTATAACAGCTGTTGATTAATTCTTGGCTTTTAACCTGAAACTTCAGGTGTAACTCCTTTTTAACAAAATGGTGGCAAAAGCCATGTTCAAATGATTTACATCTCCTGAACAACAGATAAATATATCGTTGACCAAATATTTCTTGTTCTGTAATTAAACTTTCTTATGTGACAGGCTAGAACAAGTAAATGGCTGATTTACTTTTTTTCTCCACTAAGTCAGGCAAGTGGAATTTGGAAGGTTACCTCCCCTCTCCATTAAACCATCCATCTGGATCTGTTATGCCTTGCCTTCCCCAATATGGTAACAACTTGTCAAAAACTGCATTTCACCCAGACCACAGCTCTAGTAATGCGTTAATTCCACATTTGTCTGCTACAGGAGAGTTGATTTAACTCTGAACCATTCTATAATAGCAAAGTAAAACTATAAACTTTTTTGATCTTTTGGTAATGTGGTATTATGCTGTGTAATAATAATTTATCTGTTTATCTTGGCATATGTTGTGCCAAATGTGTTTTTCTCCCAACACACGTACCCCTTGTGTGACTTCACTCCATTGCATTGATCTGACAAAGTGTCGTCTAGCATTGCCCCTAGAATTTGATAGCAAACACTTAAAGCACTTTGCCCCTGCAGCTCAACTCCAGGATTAGGGAGGCTGCTATACTGTCACAACGTTTGTGCATTTAGTCCATGAGGGTGTTAAGGGAAGGACTGTTAATTTGATCTAAAGCAAATGGAGCAGTTAACAAGTTTCAGTGGGCTGTTAATTTGCTGATGGCTGTTGCTGTGTGTGCTCCCTGTTTATTTTCTTGGGACAGGCCAGCAGGGCTTTTGTCAAACATCTATGTCAAGAACTGTTGTGATAAATCCAACATGTCAACAGAGTAGTTCGGCTGACAATTAAGTCATATGAAGAAATCAGCTCAACATTTCACTAAATGTCACAGCAAAACCTCCACAGTGCCTGCAGGCTCCAAATTATTGTACTGTGAGATGAGACTAAAGGTGCTATAGGCAAATATATGAATGGAGTAAAAGATGCACAAGATAGTTAATGTTTGCTTATCCAGCTTTTGGTTGTGTGTGGTGTGTTTTTGCTTGAAGCACTTGAGATCTGGATTGGCTGTATGTATGTCAGGTGAAACGTGTGTAAAAAAAATTTGTATTCTTCACTGCATAACCCGTGAGTAGGATTGGCTGTATGTATGTCAGGTGAAACGTGTGTAAAAAAATTTGTATTCTTCACTGCATAACCAGTGAGTGGCTGAATGGAATTGGAGTATATGCAAGGGGTTTCGTATTTTTTCTGAGGAGAGAGAGAAGAGCTAATAGGTTTCTATTCTGCCAAATTCTACAACTGCAGGATACTGCAAACTGTAACTCTGGAAATGCAGTTTCTTCTTAAAATTAAGTGAAGAGGCCCTGAGATGTTTGTACACTAAGAGTATAATTAACATTAAAGTATTTCATTGCCACAAAATTCACTTTCTTCATTCTTCCCGCCTTCCATTTTCTTGTAGGAAAGAGCTCAGGATTCTGGGCAGTTCAGCTGTGCTTTATCTTCTGTACTGGAGTTTCCTGAAAAAAAAAAAAAAAAAGCTGAATTTTCTGGTTTGGGGCTCAGTTTGCAATGGTGTGGGTAGCCCATATTTTGCTCTTATCAGACAAGCATCAATCTTTGCTTGCATCTGTTGTTACGCTTCTTGTCTACGCACGATCTGTTACTAACAGGGTTTGTTGCCTTCTGCCTGTTCCTTGGGAATGGCCTCCGCCATGGCCGCTTTGCGGGATCCTTCAGGGTCCGTGCTGGTTTCTTGACTTTTCTTCTAAGGCTTGTTAGTAGAGCTTGAATTGTTTCACACTGTTTTGTGGAAAACGACCTATCCTAGCAATTATAAGTTTTAGGAGGAAGGATAACTGTTGTTTTAGCCTTTTGGTAACACTTGAAAATCAATATCTCTAAGCAAGTACTAGGACAAGAACAGTAGAAATGTAAAAGTTAATCCTGTACTGTGTTTAAGAAAATACTTCTGACTACTTTCTTTTTTTTTCTTTGGAGTCCTCTCTCCTTTCTGCTCACTCCCCCATCCTTTGCTGCTTCTAGCCTTAACTGGAATTAACACTTTTCCTGATTCCCTAAAGTACAGATCTCTTGCTGGGAGAAGTAAATGTTAACTTTGTACTTTCTCTGAGTCTCATGCAGCATACTTATCTGGCAATGTCTGAAGATGAGGCCAGCTCTTCTCTTTCACTGCAGTCCTTACTGCTTCCTGTGTCTGCATCTGCTGCTGCACGTAATTGAATTGCCATTCCCTCGCTCTTCCAGTTAGTAATGACAATCTTTTTCTTCCAAATTGCAGACATACCCCAAGAAAGAGCCAAGAAGAGACTTGCACTGTTGGGTTTTACTGTCATCTGATTCACGCTGGGGTATATTTTAGCAGTCTGAAGCTGGCATTGCAGAGGTTAACTGGGTCTCTGCAGAAGTAGCTGTGCTACAGACAACAAATGGTGCTAACTGCTGCTGCTCTCTTCCTCCTTCCCATGTAACAGTAAATTATAACTGGGTGATACAACAGTATCATCTGTCCATGTTATAAATGGTGAGGAGAGGAGGCTATGGGCAGAGTTAAATTACTAAAGTGGGAGATAAATCAGGTTGATACTCTTCCATTCCTTTTCATACTGGTGATATCAGTGACAGCCAGTCTCTCAAAAAAGCATACCATGGAGTTGTGATTTTGCCTTCTCTACATCCTATGTGGCAGTAAGGTATTTATCAGGTCTATTCTATATCCATGCATATTGTTTACAGTGAAAAAAAAATTGCATATCATCATATGAAATCTGCTGTAATTTAACGTAGACACCCCCAAAAAAGGTATTAAAAAATATCATTGTTGGCACATTAAAAGCATGAGCTGTGACCAGCTGGCCTCCCTTATGAGATCCAGAAGTTTTCACCTCTGCCTGTGACATGATTGCTGGAGGCAATTTAACTTTGCATCTGGGAGAACCTCTGCTTTTTATAAAACATAGATGTTCAGAGGAGCTGTTTTGAGGCTAATGAATAATGAAATAAGCTTACAGCAGGGCTGGTGGAAGACTGCCGGATGGGCTACTGAACACGGGTAGCAGCCGCTGTTCTTGATGGCGATACACACAACATGTCCCTCTTCCCAGCATCTTTTTCTTAGGCTGCCGCCAAAAGGGACAATTTTGCTGTCTGCTACACCACACATCCTGCGCCTTGGATCTGCTGCTGCTGAAATAGTGTTGTGAATCAGATCAGCTTGTTCATCTGATGGAAAGGTTTCACTGCCAGAAAACCTTTCTACATCGATCCTGGTTTTCCATCAGACCAGTAAGCCATTTATATAAGCAGGTACCAGTCAGGAGGTGTAAGGCAAGAGGTAGTGAGCCTCTGGAAGAAAGGAAAGAGGAAAAGAGACCTACTTCTGATCAGAGCTGTGTAATTAATGTATGCTAAACCAACCTTCCTGAATTGATGTGGGGTTTTGTGGATTCTATTGCTGCATAACTTACCTGTCATGCTCTTCTCTTACTTCCTGTGCTACCTGCTTTATCCTCCTACTTCTTGTCTAGCTGAAACTTTTTGAGCACAAATGAGCAGGGCTCTTTTTATGGCATCTGTACGAGGTCTTTACCTGCTGCAGTGGCACACAAATGCTTCCCAGTCTGTACTGAAAACACCTCAGCTGAGGAGTTACTTAAGGTCTTGTTTGCTCTCTCGCATCTGTGTCATGTCAGTGCACAGGAACTTAAAAAAAGAAAAAAAAAACCACAAAGCCCCCAAGAAACAAACAAACCAAAACCCAACAAAAATCCCACCCAAAAAACCTTGATAGAAGCTGCCTGATCCTCTTCAAAAGATTTTCTTATTTCATTTTAATGTCTTTGTCTCTGGAGATTTCTACAGGCAAATTTGATTGCCATTCTGCTGCTACTTTTAAGAATTTAATGCTGCTGTTAAAATCAAGACGTGTTGTAGAGGTTTCTGGGTTGTTTTCCCCACCAAGGCTTCTGCCAGCAGGTTTTGTTGGCCGTAAGGAATACAGGGTAAGGATGCAATGACTGAAGATGCAGCCAAACCACCGTCCTGCTATTGAGGACCACGAGTTCAGTTCCCTGCCAAACTTTAGGCAAGGTTCTGCTGTGTGTCCCTGGGGAAAACATATGCCTCATGGCCATTTGATGTACCTGGATGGTGTCCTTAACGCAGGAGGCAGTGGCGTGGTACCAGGCCAGAAGCAGCAAGCCCTCCCTGAAGGTTGGGCTTGTCCAAGGTTGCAGTTAGGGCCGTGTCAGTTCTTCCAGCCTGGACTTCAGTGAGCGAGGATTCCTTGTCAGTGAGGCCGCTCGTTGACCTTTGGTTTTGCCTCAGATGGAGCCAAGTCCTGCGTCTGATCCTGGGTATCGGATAACCTGAGCTCTCGTGCCAAGCGCCTGCGAGGGTGCAGGGTGCCAGTGTTCAGCACTTCTTTCACAAGCGTTTGGCTCTTGGAAGCTGAAAAATTATGTAATGGGAGTTCACGATGAGACCTTTGTGCTTCGATGCCGTGCTGGTTCCAGGAGGTGCTTTTGGAGGAATGGCTGTAGTGGTTTGTGTAAAGCAGGGCGCAGAGAAAAGAACCAAGCTGGAAATGTTAAATTGGAGTTTTAACCTCAAAGCAGCTTCGTTATCTGGAGTTGATGCTCTTGGCCGTCTTTGCCTTGTGGGCAATGTTAACAACTCTGTTCTCAGCACAGATAGAGGTTTGAGCCTGTGTTACCTGCGTCTAAATCAACCTTTTTTCCTCTAAATCCACTGATGCAGGAATACATCTCTGTTCTGGGGTCTCCCTGAGAGAGACACACACCGTGCTGTTACTTCCTATGAGACTGAAGCTATCTGCAAATGCAGTGAGTTATGTTGTAGTGTGTACTGCGGACATGCTGTCTGCTGTGTCTGTGAAGTAATTAAAAACTGCAGTCACCCATTTCTGACCATGTGGGCTTATTTTGCGCTCTTTGAGGATGTGGGTAAACCAGACAGGGAACCGTTGTTCAACAGGTCCTGCACCTCAAGAACCAGAGTCACCTGATAATTTCTTCTGTTCCCTGTGAGCTTTGTCTGCTTGCCTGGGTAATGAGCTTCTGGGAACTGCTGCAACAAGGTATTATGATTGCAGGCAGCATCAGGAGGTGTGGGAAAAAAAGAAATCGGTCAATAGACTTACTGCAGAGAACGGCCAGGCTTGTTTGTTCTTGAAGAGCATCTCTTTTGCCATGTTTTTGTTGGACACAAGATATGGTGCCGGATTTGATCTGACCAATTAGCGTAGTTATGCTGTTACAGGGGGTCCAGGTTCCTGGATGAACAAAAGTGATCATGCCAAGAGTGACAACCATGTTTTCATCTCTGCTGTAAATGGAATAGATCACCAGTATTCCTCTGCATGTGCTTTATCCTGGATATGAAAGTTCCTGTTCCCTAGTATGTTATGTTGTAATGGTAGTAATCTGTTTTCTGATCCAAAAGCCTGTATGTTCTGATCTTTTTCAGACAGATGAATGGCGTCTAAGCTGCATCAATAAGGAATTCTCTGTCTGTCCCTCCTACCCTCCAGTTGTCATTGTCCCCAAATCCATCGATGATGACGCGCTTCGGAAAGTTGCCATGTTTCGCCATGGCAGTCGCTTCCCAGTCCTCAGCTATTATCATAAGAAGAATGGGATGGTAAGCTGCATTTGAGTAATGGTTGTACCCAAAGGAAGTGTGTGAATCTGTTCCTTTAATGAAAAAACAACTTGTGCTCTAGACTTAAGACAGTTCATGAGATGTTTGTTCCTTTTATTTTCCAACTTTATTAAGTGTATGCAGTAAAACTGGTTCTGGGTGATAGAATGAGTAATCCCCATCTTAGAAATAGCTATTAATCCGCTTGTTTGGGAGCGTATGTGGCGTGAGCTTGCTCACAGCAGAAGAGCAAGATGAGACTTGTAAAGCCGCTGCTGGCACCCTTACCTGCTCTGCCTGCCAAGAGGCTTCATGCTGAAAGGATGGCAGAAACCACATTGTCCTGTCTCTGGGTGGTGGGCTGTCGCCTTCGTAATAGAGTCATGATGACAGCAAGCGTTCCCAGAGCCAGCACTGCTTCTGCTGTGTAACTGTCGAACGAGCGATCGGAACAATCTGTTCTCCAAGCCTGTCAGTGTAACATGTTTCGGGAGTCACAAATCCTTGCTGTTGCACAGACTTTACCACCTCTCAACAAGCCAAAATCTAATTGAGTGACTGATACGCTATAATTAAGAAATGCACTTTATGAAATTGTTGAGCAATTCCTTGTATCTCTTGCTGATGTAGCCAGTTCTGAGGATGTTGGGATGTCCAACCTGCGGCTTGTAAACTTGATCCAGGCTTCTGAGTCAAATGCTCTAATGTGTTCTCACCTCCTGTTGCCAAGATTTGTAAGCCCTGAATTAGAGGACGTCTAGTCTGACTTAGTAGCACCTTTGGGGTGTTTTGCTTTGCTTTAAAATCAGCCATCCTCCAACTTCATAACAGCCGTGCTTTCTGCTTTTTTTCAGCTTGAATGAAAACCACTAAAGGAAGATTTGTTCAGTTATCTCTCCGAATTGTGCATGTTTCAAGTGTGAGGAATACAATAGCATTTGGCTCGGAGTGCCTGAACTTGTGACAGTAATGCTGTCTGTCACATTGCTGTCCCAACTGAGTTCTTGAGCATAGCTGGGGTTGCTGACTGGCTGCCCTCACATTTTAGTTATCATTTGAGCTGCTGGGATGCTTTCTGAATTGAAAAACACTTAGTAAAGAGAAATCTCAGCTGATAAACCTGTGGACCTAAAGTTTATTAGTCTAGCCACTGGGTAAAACTGTTCCCAAGAGGCATCTTTAACACATGAATGACTCAAGTGTTTTAAAAACAGAATTGGGAAGAGACCTTAAGATGACAATCCTGAAAATGTTGGTTTATAAAGGAGCAATCAGCGGGAAGCGAGTTCAGTAGCTCACAAAGACGGTACTACAGGAATAATTAAAGGGATAAAGCGTCTAAGAAGACGTCTGTAATTTACAAAGTGGCCTGCCAAATGATCGCTCGATTCAAGGATTTCTAGTTTGTTTTTTAAATAAATTCAGTCCCCCCAAGGGATTGCACATAAAAACCGAAAGATTCATGACAAGGAAGAACAGCGGCTGTAGGAAGAACTAGAGAGATGTTTCCGTGCATCAGGCAGTGCAGATCAGGGCGTTTGCTTCTCTGTGTCCAGGCGTGGTGGATCGAACTTGAAGCAGATGGGAGTAGGAAGTGTGGTGGGGTGGGAGCTGCGCTTGCTGGTGTAACTCCACAGAGAAGAGCTGGAGATCCAGGAGGGCCCCACTTGAATTCTACCCCTGAACTGGTAGAGGAAGCTTTTTAAGGCTGAGCTATCTCGCTCCCATAAGCAGTGTTACCATGACCCGAGTTGTAAAGGAAAACAGGAGCATCCTGTATGAATTTCAGCAGCACACCTCTTGAGAGAGCTGTTTTCCATGCCTGGTGTTGAGACCTAGTTATCTAATGCATCGGTTTGCAGTCTGCATTTACAGACCCCTAAGAAGTCCTCTAGTGAAGGGGTGTCCTTTGCCTAGTGAGTTTAAATCTCCTTTCTTGGCTTGGAGCTCAAGTGATCGGTGGCTTTCCATCTTAAGTCTCTCTGTTTCCAGTGCCTAATTCATGGTTATTTGCCTCTGCAGGTCATGATGCGAAGTAGCCAGCCTCTTACAGGTACAAATGGGAGACGGTGTAAAGAAGATGAGAAGCTTATTAATGCCACGCTACGGCCTGGCAAGCGTGGCTACATCATTGATACGAGGTCCTTGAATGTTGCCCAGCAGGCCAGGGCCAAAGGAGGGGGCTTTGAACAAGAAGCACACTATCCCCAGTGGAGGAGGATTCATAAATGTATTGAGAGGTGGGTGAAATCACGCCGGCTCTCCTCTGTGCTTGGCTTTGTAGGGTTGCATTGGCAGAGCCACGCTTGCTCCATAAAGTATTTCCTTCTGTAAGGAAAGGCCATGTATCCTGGTTCCTGTCAACAGGGTCATGTTCCTTTTTTTGCAAGATCAGGGTATGTGGATAATAAAGGTATTTGGCTTTGGAAAGCTGTGTTTGGTTCCTTTTTCTGAACAACGTGCTGCAGGTTTCATACGTCGGGCAATCTTCTTGTGCCATCTCTTTTTCTGACTATCTATAGCTGCACTCCAGCCTTCCTGTGTTCCTCTTCGCAATAGTGCACAGGAATGGGCAAGTCCCTTGCCAGCAAATTTCTGCAGGAGAGGATTTGTTCTGTGGCAGTCACACTCCTCTCATCCAGCACTTTTCTCTGGACATCTAATATTGTTTGGTCATTTGGAGACAAGTTACTAAGTTAAATAGACTTTTGGTCCAACGTTGTTCAGCTGTACTTAAGCCGTGGTTTTGGGGAACCCTTCTACATGAGCATGCAGTAATTTTGCTATTGGAAAGCAGTTGCTCCCATCATCACTGTATAGGCCAGCTCTTGAGGAGCTAATATAAGGAATTTCCTTGGCTGTTGCTTTGAACTGTTTGGCTTTGCTTCTAAAAATTTTTTGTGGCCTTAAATTTCATGTTGGTTATTTTACGGATGGACATAAGCATCAGACAGAGAGGAATTAATAAACCACAATATATAAAGAGTAAATATCTTATGCTATTATTATTCGGTTTTGTCGGCTTTTCTGAGATCTGGCCTGCTAGCTGCATCCTCTGTTACACCTGAGCACATGCTGGAGTCAGCGTTAGGTGGCATTTGATCCATCAGGAGTTTGGTGCCCCTGGAAGGCAGTGTGAAACAAGAGCAGAGAAGCATCTGGCTTTACCAGCTGCATGCTGAACACCAGCTTTCCAGGCCTTGAGAACATATTAAAACAACTGCAGAAGTGATATAAAAACATGTTCCTTTCCCCCTCTTTTTCTTACATTCTTAAGAAATTAGCCAAACTAATCTTAGTGTGGTTCTACATCAAGAAGTTGAGTCTAGTTTAAAATTTTCTATGTTAACAGTGGGTTGTGTCCTTGTGATGGATGGCTTTCAGGTTACTGTTGCAGCTCTACAGGTTAAAACTCCCCCAAAACATCTGGTGTAGTACAGAGAATGAAGGTGCAGCACTTGAAGCTTGCTGACACTTGCTAGTGGCCATGCCAGGTTGCAGTCTCACTTGTACTTGGTAATGGCAGTGGGACTACTGAAACACAGTTTACATGGAAAGTGTAAGATGTGGCTCAACACACACAGGGTTCAGGTAAGATAAGGAAAAGGCCATACTGTTGTAATGCCTTACGAAGCAATTTGTTTTGAAAGGGAAGAGACTACTTATGTCCAAAGAGTAGTATTCTGCTGGTAGTTAGCCATGGCTTGGGAATTCCCAGTGAAAACAGGTTTGCTCAGTGTCCTGGTTTCAGCTGGGATAGAGTTAGTTTTCTTCCTAGCATTAGGCATAGTGCTGTGTTTTGGATTTACTAGGAGAAGAATGTTGATAACACACTGATGTTTTTAGTTGTTGCTAAGTACTGCTTATGCCAGTCAAGGACTTTTCAGCTTCCCATGCTCTGCCAGGTGCACAAGAAACTGGGAGGGGGCACAGCCGGAAGAGTTGATCCCAACTGCCCCAAGGGCTATTCCATACCATATGATGTCATGCTCAGTATATAAACTGGGGGGGGGTGACTGGGGAGCAGCGATCACTGCTCGGGAGCTGTCTGGGTATCGGTTGGCGGGTGGTGAGCAATTGCATTGTGCATCACTTGCTTTGTATGTTATTATATTGTTATTATTATCATTACTACTTTACTTTATTTCAACTATTAAACTGTTCTTATCTCAACCCAGGAGTTTTCTCACTCTTACTCCTCTGATTCTCTCCCCAGTCCCACTGGGGCAGGGGGAGTAAGCGAGCGGCTGTGTGGTGCTTAGTTGCTGGCTGGGCTAAACCACAACACTCAGTGAGGAGACAATGACTTCTATAGGGTTGTACTTTTTGAAATAACTGCATATAAATCGTAGTGCTGTATTTTTGAGATCAGTGTATTTCTGTAAGCATGTTGTCCTGGTTGCTATGTTACTGCTTGTGTTTGCAATAATATTTTGCTTTTCCCAAAGGTTTAATATTCTGCAGGAAAGCCTCATCAAACTTGTGGAAGCTTGCAATGACCAGTCGCACAATATGGACCGCTGGCTCAGTAAACTAGAAGCTTCCAACTGGCTGACTCACATCAAGGAGATACTAACTGCAGCTTGTCTAGCTGCTCAGTGTATTGATAGGTAAATCTTTTTCTGAAAAGCCTTGAGTTTCTTATTTTCTGGTTATAGATTGCTTGTTAAATACCTCTATTTCCACTTTAAGTATTAGTAACAGGCCGCTGTGAACTGGCTTGCTTGTACCCATGCAAGATACATCATGTTTCATCACGGTTATGGAATGTTCCTCAGTAAATCATGCTTGCATTTTTAGAAGTACAAGCCTGAGGGAGGAAATCTTGACTAAGAATAGGTATTAGATCATTGAGTTAAGGCGTATTCCTATGTCTGATGCAACCAATCTAATTTAGTTAATTTTATTGGAGGTTTAGGTTAGAATGTGCCCATCTGAAATGCTGTTTGGTAGCCTAGGAAAGTGAGAACACGGAGTCTTTTTAAAAAAGTCCTTTTTTAGCTGAAAGCTTCCAATACCCCACCTCGCTTCTAGAGATTAAAACAATGGTATTTCCTTGTTTTCCCCAGGAATTGGTCCAGTGCTTTTTCCTCTTGAAATTTTTATCCCCTTAGTCCTATCTAAGCAATCCTGTTCATCCCTTATAAGTGCTTGTGACCTCTTTTAACCTGACATTTCTTTAATAAATACGGCTGACTTGTCCTGAAAACATCTTCAGACCGCAGACTGGAGAGCAAAAGCTAGCTGTCAGATGCCAGGGTTTTTAAGGCCAAATGTGGGGGGTCTAAATGTGACTTCTTTGTGGCTCTGAGGGGGGGAAAGCCCTTCTCAAAACTCAGGGAAAACCTAGCTTTTCACACCAGCTAGGGAATGCGTTATGCAGATACACAAGTAGGCTGAAATGCAGTCTCATTGGTAAAACAGCATTAAAGCATTAAAATATGAGCTGCTGTCCTTTTTTTAAAAAGCACTGACGGTGCCTGTTTAGTTATTGACTGTGCCAGGAAAGGATTGCTCTTGATCAATAGTTTTATGTGTAATTCTTTCCCACGTGTGTGTATAATGAGAAAGATCAGTGACGAAATTCTTTTGGCTTGTTGGGACAGTGGACAATTTCTTCATTTTTAACCTCAGCTTTGCTTTTTCTACTTACCTGGGCCTATGGCAAGCCAGCTCAGCATTGGTGCCTGGCCTGCCTCATTCGGAGCCTGGAGATCATAGCTGAGCTGACAAGGATGGTTCGGTTATATTGACAACGGGGAGGGAATGGCTGGGACAGATCTTGCAGCATCTTAAAGGTCTTGAGGCCTGAAAGATGAAAGGGGAAAACAGCGTTATCCCAGTGTGCCCCACTTTGAGGAGCGCGTGGGCTTGCAGTTAGCCTTTGCAATCATGCTTGGCTGGAAGCAGCCTCTTTACGGGGGGGGGGAGAGGGTATCTGAAGATTATCTGCACTGCAGAGGGACTGGGTTTGTTTTAGACTATAGACAAAGATGTTGCAGTGTTCAAGGTACAGATTTTCATGCTTTTCACTTCAAAAAGCAACTACTGTGTGCAGGGTTACTTGCTTGCTAGATTGATCCTTCTTACCCACGCTTTGCTGCCTGGGTTGGGTCTCTGCACAGAAAGAAATACAACCTGCAGTTAATTTCCTTTCTGGGTGTAAGGATGTTGGCAGAAGTGAGAGACTGGGTCAAGGTTTGGGAAGAGTAAGGGGAATAAATGCCATCTAATACCATCCAGTCCTTCCCTCAGGAGCACATGGATGAGATTCTGATATTGTATCCAAACACAGCCTAGGATGGAGGAAGAGGGGAGGGAATCACCTGTCCTGGACAGTCCCCACTGGAGTGTGGGGAGTGACAGCACACGGGCCCCTAGCAATGTGCAAAACCTTCCTGCCCCAGACTCCGAGCTCCCTCTGCTCCTCACATTGTTCTGCCGAGTCACTTGTGCTGGCTGGTGAGTGAGAAGACTTTGTGCTTGGCTCTTTGACAAGCTTCCTTGCTCAGCACACTAACTCTTCTGCCTTTGTGGAGGCCAAGCTCTGCTGTTTCTTTCTCCCGAACTGGCTTATTGGCTTACTTTTTCTTGCAGTAAACCCCAGCTGAGGCCCAAATACAATTAAGCCCAGGTTTCAGCAAGAATTTCATAGTATTGTTTTGCAGAGCATCTGCGGGGATGATACATCTTCATTGCAGTGCTTATGAGAAGATTTCAGAGTACTTAGCAAAATGATAAATGACTCAAGCAAATTTTGAGATGCGTTTGTATGTTGTAACTCAAAGGGGTACCAATTGAAAATAGTGAGAACCACAAAATAGATTTTGCCGCACATCTGCTGTCAACATGGCAAAGGTTCTGAATTTCCAGAATGCTGAGCAAGAAACTAAGCCGTAAGTGATGCAGAGCTCTAGTTAGTGTTGGTGAGGATCCAGGTGGAGAAAGTGGTACGCTTCCAGGTGGGGTGGGGAGTAAGCTTATGGGAGGGAAGAAGGGGTAAAGAGCCAGCAAAACCTCAGCGTTGTCAGGGTAACAACACTGGTGTCCACGGGATGCGTTGGCATCCATTGGGATGCATACGTCCTCGGGATGTGTTCTGCTCATTCGCACTCTTACTCCTTTCCACCTTTTTCTTTCACAGGGAGGGTGCATCAGTGTTAGTCCATGGGACTGAAGGAACTGATTCAACACTCCAGGTAACTTCTCTGGCACAGATTATCTTGGATCCAAGTTGCAGGACCATACGTGGCTTTGAATCTCTTGTTGTGAGGGAGTGGCTACAGGTAAGAAATGCTTGTGGACAAAACGGCAATCTAATCCAGTGACAGTTGTACTGAGAAATAGCCTGAGAGGCAGCAAATTGGTTGGGCCTTGTTGCAGCCCTGCTTAGCGTGAATGGCTCTTTGTCCTAAGAGCAACGTCATTAACTGAGTCAGTTGTACCTCTGGCACTCCATGGGGCCTCTGCCTCTCGTGGTAGTGTTTTGCTTTGAGGGAACTGCCTGTTTTCTGTGCTTAAGGTGAATATCTCTTCAGAGAACACTGTTCAGACTAAATCACAAAACCTTAGTTCTACTCTTTGTACTCTTGCAGCTAGTATCCTCAGCCTGGTCCCTCGGTGCACCTACACCAGTTTGTTCTTGGTAAAAATTCTCTGATCAAATACAGTGCTATTTACGTAGCCTGAAAAAGGCAGCAAAGTTGGTTGTGGTTGCTAGCAATTTGATACTGGCCGCTTGATGAAATTACGGTTGCAGAAAAGAGTAGCGATGGCGTAGTTGCATGAACTAGCTCTGAAGTCTTTGCTACATGTACTCACATCCCATTACTTTGTGTGTGATGCTCTCTCTGATTCTTATGTATAGGCTGGCCACCCTTTTCAGCAGCGCTGTGCCCAATCAGCCTATTCAAATAGCAAGCAGAAATGGGAGGCCCCAGTGTTTCTCCTCTTTTTGGACTGTGTGTGGCAAATCCTTCGTCAGTTCCCTTGCTCTTTTGAATTCAACGAACAATTCCTCATTATGCTCTTTGAACATGCTTACGCTTCACAGTTTGGCACTTTCCTGGGAAACAACGAAAATGAAAGGTTGGTGAGGATGCTTGCTTTGAACCGTTTAAATATCGGGCTGTATCTGACAAGAAAAAAAAAGTCTCTGTTTGAAAAAGGGTGAGGGTGCTTGTGTGGTCTCCCCTAGCACAGGTGAGCTTCTCTTGTTGCAGTTACTTTGTCTGCTGCAATGTTAGGGAGCTTGTCCCTCTTAAGAGTGGGATATTGTGACTAAACCCATTTCTGGCTTGGTCAGGGAGTTGAATTCTTCTTCTCCAAATCCAGGCTAATACCTAGACTGTCTTTTCTGTTTCCCTGTGTGGCCTTGAAAAGTCTCCACCCATCACTAGTTTATATAGGTCTCTTACGCAGAAACTTTTTCCATAAAAGAATAAACAGCTAGAGTTCAGCAATGACGTGAGTCATAGCTGTGGGAAGCAAACTTGTCCACGCAGGCCTGGAGGACAAGGTCAAGGCAGTCAGAGGCCAAAGCTGGAAAGTCTGGTTCTTGCCTTAACTGTCAGGGAGGAACATGACTCTGTAGCCTGGTGGTCCCGATGCTCCCCAGGAAAGGAAGGCTTTGGTTTTTGCATTATCCACCAACTGCTTAAAGTGGCAAACATGGAAGAGGTTCTTCCAGAAGGATCTGCCTCACAGTTACACCTTGGCAAAAGTTTTGCTTGTTTGGCTACGAGCGTCATGATTAGGTTTGAGGTCTTTTTGGCCATGCAGTAGGAGAACTTCAACAGAAGGACCAAAAATCCCTCTAGCCGTAACCTGTGACTTGAAGAAATGCAAACTGGCGACCTGCACTGGATGAGGTTTTGAGGGAACACTATGAGCTCTCGGGTGGATGCTCGTGTGACTTTGAAAGGAAGCAGCCAGGACTGCATTCTGCTGGAGTCTACCTTGTCACGTAGCAATAGGCCTCTGCTGAGCTTTAAGGCTCTTGAGTGTTTAAGGCACTTGAGCAGACCAGCACCTCGCTTCTGAATCCTTGCCTGCATTAGATGCTGTGCTGGACCAGTGGGGCATCTCCAGGCATGCCCTGAGTAGGGCTGCTGGGAGTAGTAAACAGGGTGGAGGACTGGAGCCTCCCACGGCAGATGGCAGCTGCCAGAGAGGTTTGGATTCCTTTTTTGAACTTGGCAGTTCCATTCTCAGGACTCCTGACTCCAGTAAGTCCATGTCTGATGGTCTCCTGCTTAACTGAAGACCACTGAATGAGTAGAAGGGAAAAACAGAACTGGTATTACAGATAAGGAAGGCAATTTAAAGCTTCCTATAAACCTCTCTGCCCTTAAAGTAATCTTTGCTTAGAAAAGACTCTTCTGTCTTCTGCAGGGTTGCTGACCTGGTCATCTGCAAAACCAAGTTAGACTTGAAACCAATAAGATGAAATTTGAAAGAGTATTGAATGTTACATGTAATAACCTGCCTGTCACATCTCAATATGTCAGCCTGTGAGCACAGAAAATGTTTGAAGTCTGATGTTAAGCTTGAGGTGTCTGAAGTATTCACGGGGATGGTGAATCTCCTGCCTGGGAGATTCGCTAGTGCAAATTGTGCTAGCACAAGCAGAATGACGTTTGCCAGAATCTAAGGAATAGAGAGCCCCGTGTAACTCCTGGAGGTGGGTTTGACCCATGAAAGCAGCAGTTTTCTCTGTGTGCTCTGATGCTTCCTGCCACCAGAGGGACCTAATCAGATGTGCCCCTTGCGCAGTTCCAAAAATAATAACGCTGCTTTAATGTACTCCATGAACTGCACTAGGATCCTTCCTTGATGCAGACCTACCACACCTCCCAGCTCTATCTTAACACAGGAGTTCAATCCCTTTCAAAACCTGGCAGCTGAACCATTTTGCGGAGATGACTGATTCTTCTTCATCTGGACAGAAGGCAGCTAGCTTCCACTCAACTTACAGATGTTATTTCCCTATGTTTTCTTTGAAGATAATTGTAATCGGCCAGGTTGAGTAAATTGCTTTAGGTTTACACCCTGTGCCATGTTGGTGAGAGGTATTGAAAGGATTAGCCTGAGTTGTCTGGGCTAGTAGCACATGGGAAAGCTTGTGGCATTCTAGTCTGCGGGGTTCTGATAAAACAAAACAAGTCTTTACAGTATAAAAGTGAAAGCTAACTTGTTCCTTTGGGTTTGTTAGATCTAAGCTGAAGCTGCCGCAAAAGACTATGTCCCTGTGGTCCTGGGTGAACAGGTCTGAAGAGCTGAGCAAGTTCCAGAATCCTCTTTTTGAGGCCAACAGCCTTGTCATCTGGCCCTCTGTTGCCCCACAGAGCCTGCAGCTCTGGGAAGGTAAGCCAGTCTTGCTTTTTCTGTTATTTTGTGGCTACTTGTAAAGCTTCTTAAGCGTTTACTCCTGTTGTCTCTGCTCTGTGCTTAGTCTATCTCAGCTGATGGTGATCTCACTCCCATTGAAATCTGTTCCAAAATATTTTTGGCATGTGCCATCCCCAGAGGCATGAAGCTTTCTCCTTCTGAGGCTTGGTGACACACTGCTCTTTGCCAGGGAGCTTTACTAGTACCATGTAACTTCTTAGCACAGCATTTCTGCAGTGATACAGCCTCATCTATAGATGTTCTGCAGGCCTCAGGCTTTTGTTTTGTATCAACCAAGACTTCTCTTTCTCCATTACTGACCATGCAGGCCAGGATAATCTGTGTGCAGTAGGTTGCCTGCTGCAGAAACTTTCTCCATCACATGTATGCTGAAGAGTTAATTCCAGTGAAGCAAGCAGGCTGTCATGGCAGGGTGGAGACTGAATATGGGTTGGTCTGGTCAGTATATGAGAAAAAAGGAATGAAACCCCCTCATTTTTTCTTTATTAACCTTGTTTAATAGAATGGTGAAGTTGGAGAGGAGGGTCAGTATTTCTAAATGCTGTTTAGGGGTGAGGGTAAGGAAAAAAATGCATAAACTCTACGCACTTGAGAGCTGATGGAATGTGAATGTTTCCTCCTTGTAACAAGAAACCCTTCTGACTTGCACTGTCTCTGGGCTTTCAGGTGTCTTTCTTCGGTGGAACAGGCCTTCCAAGTTCCTAGACGAAGCCCATGAAGAAATGATCAACATCATAAAATACAACAAGGAACTTCAGGCAAAGGTTAATGCATTGAGGCGGCAGCTAGCAGAGATGGAAACGGATGATAGGATGCAGGAGAACCTGTGAGCTGGCAGGGCTTTGCCTCAGGTCTTTCCTTTCCAGTCCCCTTCACGTTAAAGACTGAACATGGAAAGTGCATGTATTGCAGAGCCCTCTGGGTACGGTTGACCCTCAGTCCTACCACTGCTGAAACCTACACTTCACACTATGTACCTCCCTGCTTTTTGGGAGGGATTTTTGTTTTGTTTACAGAAGACATACACAACTGGGCATAGTGTCCTCTCTTGGCAGCTTTTCTGTCTCAGAATTGTGTACAGTGTCAGCAGAAGCTGGAACTCTTACCTCCACCCAACTGTATGGATGACCAGGATGGGCCAAGGGACAGGATGTTTTGAATTTATTTTGGACTTTTTCTAGTTTTGTTGAACTCTCTAAACACTCATCAGGATTAAAATATGAAGTTATGTATAGATAGGTAAAGGCATTTTATCTGAAAGCACCTTTTCTCTCCAAGACCAAGTAAGGCAGCTTAGTTCTTTAGTTTCCTAGAAAAACTAGAAAGTGGTATAATCTAACTACAGGTTCTACCAGTCTATATGATACTCTCAGTAGCCTTCACATCTCACACTTGGCTTTTTGTGTTAAGCATTGGCTTGGGAGCAGTAAGTTGAATACCAAACCAGAACAGGAAATTTCAGTGCAATACAGAACTGAAGTAGGGATTCTGCTGCTAATGTTTAAGCCATGACCTTCAGGTGGAATTGTCCCTCATGGACAAATATCTCCTAAGGAATAACAAACCTTTTTTACTCTACCTGGAAAACAAAAGGGTTAAGTAGTTGGTAGAAGTGTTCACTTGCAAAACAGTGGCTCAAAGCTGTCCTTTTAACTAGAGTCAAGTGGCCCTCTTGAAACTTCAGACTGCACTGGCTGCTTTTGTACACTTGAACAGGTTCACAGCATTGCTAGGGTGCAAGGGCAGTGCTTAATCTACAGCTCAACAAACCACTTTTGCTCCACCTGCTGTGCTTTTTCCTCTCATGTCCTTACTATAGATTTTGTGAAACATCAAAAGCAGAAGTTGGGAGTTAAGGTGATTTAACATATCAGGTAGCTGCTACAGATTAAGAGGCTGTCACTACAAAAATGCTAGTAGTTTAGATCATTTGTAGCTGCTAAAACTGTTTAAAGACTTTAGGGATAAGCTTTTTTCTGAGTAACTTTGTATTTTGTAGCTGATCTTTGTGACTGCAATCTGCTTTTATAAAATCAGAGTTTTCGCTAGACTTTTTTTTTTCTCCTTTAAAAAGACTGATAAGAGTAGGTCTGAAATATTAACTCACCTAGGCATTTGATTGATTGATTCCATGGCTTGATTCCATTGGTAGCCATACATGACTGAGAAGACTTGAATTAACAACAGTGTGTGTGGCTGGGATTATCTTAAAAGGTGCTCGCTGTTAGCCTGTTTCTGCTGCAGTGAATGGAGCTGCGTTAGATCAGTGTTGACCTCTTTGGAAACTGTTGAGCTTCCGTGACACTTTATGCTGTTTTGGAATGCAGCTGCCTTTTATTTAAAAGCCACTTCACATAAAGATAGATATATGTGAAAATGCAGGATCTTTAGTTGTCATAGAAGTATCTGGAGAGTAATCTTCTGCAAAAATCATGTAACCGCTAAGTATAGTCAAAGAAAAGTTCTATAACCAAGGAAGCTATATAAAATTATGTGATAGTGATTAAGTGCTACCTTAATGCCTTTTGCTTCAGTCCTTATTTCCTTACCTTCTTGACTAGCCTAAGCTTAGTCCTAAAGTCATCTGGCTTAAAAAAAAATAAAAAGATCCTTTTTAAATCGCTGTTCACTTAAAGCAGAAGAATAATTCCCCCTACCTGTAATACCATTTTCTTTTTAGGTTCGGAGAGTGACAGTCTCGTTCACTAAACGAAGTCTGACGTAGGGAATGCTTCTCGGGTTGGCTGGTGATCTGTACTGCCTAACAGGGGAGGCACAAGTCGGCCCTGCCTTCCTCCCACCTCCAAACCCTGGCTTCTGGAGCTACCTTCTGGGCATATTGCAAATGTAAGCCCTTAAAATTATTGCTCACCCTTTAAAATTACATCTGTGGGATCTGCACCTGGCTGGATGTTGTATCCCTATGCAATGCAGAATTTCTGCTGTTCCTGTACATCTGAAATAGATTATCACTAGCCAGATGGGAAGGATTCAGAAGGCACTATTTTCCCCATAATAGACTATACATAAAACACACTTAAAGGTTATGCAATTTCCTAACGTAGTAATTATATATTGAGCTAAATAATAGAGAAGCAAAGAGGGGGTTTTTTGATCTAATTGCCTGGCTGTTCTAGTCTCTCATGCAAACTGCAGGCGTCTGAGGAAATTGGGTAACCAGCTGTGACAGCTAACAAAAGGCAGAAATTTCTCTCCGAGCTGGCATTTCATCCTCAACTTGTGTTTCAGGACTGAATCCACACCCAAATGCTGTGTGCTTGCCTTGGTGGTGGTGTGGATCACAGCCTTCATGTGGAAAAATGCTAGTGTCGTTCTGAGCAGCCACAGCAGTTTCTTCCCCAATTCCTCTGCCGTGCGTCACCTCGTAGTCACTGCAGACAGCAGGAGCTGGAGGCTTAAGTTAACACCTCCCAAAAGTGACTATTTCCAGGTTACCAGAGCAGTCCTGCAAAGCATTGCATGTGGTGGAGAGGAGACAAGATGTGTGGACCCTTGCAGGCCCTCCTGGGAGAAGACAGTTCACAGACCTCTGGTGTCAGGCTACTTGCACACTCCCCTCTGCATTCCCAGCGCTTCCCAGGCTCTGGTCTGGTGGCTGCTGGTGTAATACACAGTGGAGCACTCCAGTTCTTTGCTTACCTGCATGTCCACCGTATTTATTCACATATTTAATATTGGTGATCGCCTTGCTTCCCCTCTTAGAGCGGGATGTCTGCCAGATTCTGCCCCGTGAAGTCACTGACACCCTGCTTGCAGGTTACCTGTGTCTTCCTGAGCTGCAAGCACAGTGGCAGTGCCCGGCTCTGGCTCTTCAGTCTGACGCTGCCTTACGCTCTTGCTGACACCCCTGCTTCTGCTCTTTTGCACATAGCTATTTGTGTAATAAGCTGGACACGGAGGGCCGCCTTCCCCAAACTCTGGGGTCAATCAATGCGGACGCTCTGCCATTTACCAAAAAAAAAAAAAAAAAAGGGAAAAGGAACTAACTTGCACAGTTTTCATAAGGGAATATGTACCTTCAATATTTTGATTGTATTGATCTAACTCTTGAATGTGGCGACCGGTTTAAGTGCACTATTGTCCATGTTGCGTATGATATAACTTAAATTGCACTGTACAGCATATTGGCGTCTAATGTATGCTTTGCTAAAGCCTTGCAAAGTGCTATCGTGTTCAGGTTCCTGTAGGAGGGGAAAATGTCTATACTAGCACTCCCTTTTTTTTGTAACTGTGACATTGAATAGCACTGTATGATGTGTGCTATGTATCTGTTAACTAGTACAAATTTAAGTGATAAGTGCACTTCTGTCCAAACATCTGGAATTGCTAATTGGACTTGGCTGCTGCATCGGTCTTTTTTTTTTTTTAAATGAAATAAGTAACAGGGCTGGGAGTTGTGTGCTATTGTTAGATGTATGCTGTATGTGTACAGAATCCCAGCTGCTGCAGTGTTGAATATATTGCAAAAAAAAAAAGTAACAAATCTGAGGAAAAACTATCATGGCTTGAATTGCTTCACCATTTGGGGGGAGAAAACCAGATACAAAGTGGCTGTAAACTTTGCTGTAGATATGTTGAGAACACAGTAGAAATGTCTGTTCAAATTAAAACCGTGAAGACTCTAAAAAGTTCTTTAACTACAGTGCTGAATCTTCTTTACTAGTACTGCCTTCACTTTCCATTGGAGGGATGCGTGTGTGTGACTTGGACGTAAGCTCTTGCCTGAAACTCTGGTTCTTTTCAGCTCATGCGTGTTTTCTTTTACAGCTGAACACGCGCTGTGATGGTAGAGGAGGGGTCTGTGCTGCAGGGAAGGGAGAAGGTTGAGACCCTGAGTCTGCGTGGCTTGCAGAGCTCTGCTCCGGTGGTTTTGGTCTTTTGACACCAGCTCTGCACATGATGGATAAACAATTCAATTAGCAAAGATGTGCTTGTGCTGAACTCTTCAAAGGCAGGCAGGCAGGTGTTTTCAAAGGGAGAGTGGTTTGGACTGAAGCAAAACCTTGCAAGCAGTCCAGTGGTAGACCTGGGCTCACGGTTACTTGTTGCTTTTTAAGGGAGGTGGGGTACTTTGGTGTACTTGCCGGGGAAGGAGCAAAAAAAAGGACAAACAGCTCTTGGGAAACGGAGGATGTGAACCATGGAAACTCCTGGATATCTCCTGGCTGGCAGGTCAGTGGGCTGTGAACCACTGGGCTCTCTGTTTCCCTGCGGCATCATTTGTCTCTGCAACTCCTCTGCAAGGTGAAGAATTTTTGTGGCTTTTGGCATTTCAGCAGATGGAGACTCTGGGTGTGTGCACTGCCCTAGAGCTTGTGCAGTCCCATATGATAACACTGTGAAGGGTGCTGAAGGTTTAGGTTTTTTTTTTTTTTCAGAAAAGATTGATATTCGGTCCCTATTTGTGCAAAATCTTTGCAAAAGTCCCAGCTGAAACAAAATGGGTCTATCTTAAAATATTTTTAGCTATAATCAGGCAGCCTGATTTGGTTTAAGCTTGCTTTTTGGAGGGGAGAAAATAACTATCTGATCAAGTGTTGAAATGTCTTAACTTTCCTTATGTTTTTATTTGAGCATGGGTAAGAGGGCATCATTAGTCCAACAGTTTAAAGCCAAATACATAAAGGCTCTGGAATATTTAAAAGGATATAAAGCCACGTGTTGGATTCAAACTACAATTGAGGTGCCACTCACAAAAACACAATGCCTTTAAAGAGCTTGTACTGTGCAAACAGGCTGTTCAGGGCAGCTGTGATGGATTTCTTTAGCCCCTATTATCTGCGTGTAAAACACGATGTTTTGATTCAATGCGTAGAAATGTCTGGTGGGAGGGAGTGGAGAAGACGGAGGCAGACTGCTGGGTGCCTGGTCTGTGACTCACTTGAACTCTAGCCTGGCTTTCCGAGCCTCCCTTTCTTCAGTCATCAGGCATCGGATCTGTCCCATCTCGCCCCTTTCTAACCTGCTCACCAACTTTGACGAGGCTTTGCAGGGTAGGGAATAGGAAGGTGATTA